CCTGGGGCCCCGGGGCCTTTAAATGGTTTCACGTGCACAGCTGGCCTGAGCACATGGCAAGGCCCGTCAGCAAGCGGACCAGTTCAGATTCTTGGTTTTGTTGCCACCGCATGCCCTGAACCCTGCAGCCAGGCGACCCCGGTGGAACATGTGCTGCCCGGCTTTTACTCGCCATGAGGGCTGCCTGTGGTAACTTTCACGAGGCTGTCTGCTCCCTGACGACAGAAACTTCCCTGCCGCTGTTGTGCCCAGCACAGGCCAGGCCCACCGTTCCAGAGGCAGGCTCTGGCTGAGTTCACGATGGCTTGCTAAGCCGCTGGTCCAAATATCAAGACTGATTGGTCCCTGTGCCATTATGGAATGATTAAAGACCAGGCAGTTTCACAAGTCTTAGACTTCTGAGCGTAGCAAATGTACCTGATTTTCTCTGGGGAAAAAGAGAAAAAACAGAGAAAGAAAAACAGTGTGCTTGGGGAGGCATGTGGCAGGGAAGAGGCAGGCATATACCGGAGTCATGACGTCCAGCTGGTCTCCCTCGCACGCCAGGCTGTGCCACCTCCTTCGGGGACGGGAGCGCTCCCTGCTGGGCGGGCAGGAGCCAGCAAGTGAGGAGGCAAGACACAGGTTGAGGGAGCTCAGTGACTTAAAACGCTGGGAGTTTCTGGTTGGAGGCCATTTGCTGGCTCCTGTTTTGGGTCGTCTGTTCTCCCAGAGGCTCCTGGAGCCGGCCACCTGGACTGCGCCGCACGTGGGCTTAGAAGGCCAAACGCCCCTGGCCCTGGGACAGCCTCTTCAATCGAGGGGAAGCCGGCCTGGTGCGAAGATCATGTCCTCTTAATTTGGCCATGCACGACCCTGGTTTGGTCTTTCTTCTTTTTTCGGGAGAAGGGCTTTCCTTTGTGGAGACATGGAACTGCCCCCACAGCCCCTCCTCCAAACCTCCCCTCCTTCGTCCCCCACCCCCAGCCCTGTTGGTAGTGTTGGTTAATGAGCTGGTTTGACTCACTAAGTCCTTTCATTTTGGGTCCCGGCTCCCAAGGGGTGGGTGATGCCAGGGACAACTCCTTTCTTGGGTGAATTTTTCATTTGAATCATGCAGCTTAGTCATCCCGTGGCGAAGGCCAGGGCAGCTGCAGGTGCCCACTGTCAACAGCCTGCCTCCCGGGCAAGGTGGGGCTGCCATGCCTGGGACTGAGCTGGTGCCCACCTAAGGGCTCAGGCTCCTGCCAATGCCCATGGCATTTGCCCTGCAGAGCTGCAGGGGTTGGGGCGGGGGTGATGTCAGGGATCAGGGTGATGTGGTAATGATGCACCCCTCCCCTCACCCCGTTGATTTAAAGCTGTTTCCAAACAGTTGAGTCTCTCCTGAAGACGAAGCCTTGTCCCGAAAGGCCCACTGAGACAGCTGGATCTTGGAGACAATTACGAGCTGGGAGCCCAACTCCTGACTGCCTGCTGATTCTGCCACTGATCATTTGCAGCTGCTTGTTTCGGTCTCCACCTTCAACCCCAGTGGCTGAAAAAGCCCATGATGTGTCGCTTAATTTTCTTTCTGATTCTCCCAGATCGGTGGCTGGGGACTTGGGAGAGGACCCAGAGAAGGGAGCTAGCCACCTGCAATCCCTCTGGCTTTGGGGAACAAAGACTGATGTGAAGGCCCACAGAGAATTCTCTCTTCCAGTCTCAACCCCTTCAAGGGTGGCTGGAAGGGGAGGCAGGGGGCCGTTTTACATAGGATTAGCTTCCAGGTGGCTGCCATTTCAGCACAAGCAGTACTGAAATTCACATAAAAAAGAGAGAGCTGTGAAACTGAGGTCCGGATTTAATAGGCCCTGCAGCGAGCCTGCGGGCCCGTGGTGCTTGCGAGAACGAGGGCCTGCCCCAAGCTGGGAGCATGGGCCTCAGCTGCGCCCCGAGGCTCATGCTGAGCTGCTCCCAGCACCGCAGGCCAGATTTACCTGCCGCAGGGCTGGAAGGAACCTGGCGGGGACCTCGCGTGCAGCGCCTCTTCTCCACGGGAGTTGTCACACAGCCTGTCTCTGCAGATCCTGCTGCCGTGTGGGACCCAAGGTAGGCGGCCGGTGGGGGCGTCGGGGCCCCGGCAGCATGGGAGGGTTGGGGGGGGTGCTGTTGGGGGGCCGAGTGTCAAGAGCCGGGACCCAGGGGTCTGGAGTTGCTCCTTCGTGGGCCTTGCCGGGCCTGACACTGAGGGAAGGCGCACTCGCGGGATTGCAGTTTTGTGTGTTTCCTTCTCTCTCTCCATATTTATTTTTTTAATTTATGGAGGCGGTGCAAATTTCAGGAATGGTTGGGGACTAAAGAAAGAACTCTCTAGCTCCATCCATGTGAAGCCTGGCGAGGTCTGCTCCTCTGCACTGGTCATCAGCATTGTGTAAAGAGACTGATACACTTGAGTGTGCAAGCAATGAAGCCGTTCGACATGCTGCTACGAAGACTAATTTGAGCACAATTTTAAAAAAAGGGAAAAAAACTAACCTACAAAAAAAAACCCCACCCTTTATTCTTTAATTGTTGCTTTTACAGTGATATTGTGCATGCAAACTAGGAGCATTTTGTGTCTTAAGAAAAATAATCTGAGAACAGATGGCTGTGAAAATTACACCCGTGCACAGAACAAGTCACAGGAATAATAGTTCAGAATTTGGTTTTTCTCTTTTTTCTTGTAAAACCTGAAGGGTTGATATATTCTTTCCATACAGTTATTAGAACTTAGTTTTGTTCTAGCAGTTGTGAAACTTGCAATGAAAAGGAAATGTGCCATTTTTTTTGCCCACTTGGAACTATTCTTAGCTGTATATTTGAAACTGCTAATAACACACGAGCGACTTATGCTGGTTTTTTAGTGCAATTTCTTCTGTAGCTATTCTTTGACCAAACTGTGGGTATTGTTAATATTAATTTATATTTGTCTCATTTTTGTATGTATGCATAGCGTGGTTGTAAGTATGTGTGGTTTATAATCTAAAAAGGTCATAAAGCTCAGTTTGGCTGTAATTTAATTCCCTTCTCTTTATTTTTATTTATTTTTGTACTGTGCTGATTAAATAAAATGCACTGACCAAAAAAAAACAAACAAACAGACAAAAAAAAACGCCAAAGGCTGCAGAAGCGTGCTCCGCCCACCCTGCTCTCAGTCTCCTCGGCCCGCTGCTCCATGCTCTCCCTTTCCTCCTGGAGCCACCTAAAAGAGACCAAAACTCGTGAGCTGCCTTTGTCAGCACAGCATCGTGTCTGGACAACAAATTTGGGCTGGCATTCTGTGTCACAATGAGCAAATTCCAGGAATATCTGCTCATTTCACATCTCGGCTAAAAGGTTCGACTTTCCCTCTTTTGAATATTCTCAAACTTGGAATAACTTGGCACTGAGTCTTACAAACTGGCCCCTGGTCATTCACGTTTGATTTGACTCGTTTACGCTAACATTCTGACGGGGCCTGTGTGGCGACTCTCTCCCTGTGAGGAGATACCTGAAGCTGACAACCTTAACCTTCCCTGCTCTCAGGGCAGAGGTGCACGTCAGTGCCTCAAGTCTTCTCCACTGGGAATCGGGAACTCTCTATAACCAACACAGCGATTCACAAACAAGCTGGAGTTTCTAAACAAAACTCCCCAGACCAGATGAAGTGCTGAGGGGATTTTTACTTTTTTAAGGATGTATGTGTAACAACGCATCACTTGATGAAATTCTCCACCAGCTGTGTGTGAGTTTCTGGATTCATGTCAATCTGCCGCATTAACCTAGAATTCACGCTTACTGTTCTTCTCCCCTAATGTGTAGTGGATGATTTTATATAGCAGTTGAAATACACAATGATGCCTATAAAATGAATTCCAAATTAAAACACGGGATTCCTGCAGGTCATAACATCTTCAGCTTCATTCTACGTAAAAGTCTTGAAAGTTTTTCACTTGTGATAGCAAGCTGATGGACACAATTTACTATTCATAAAAGAAGTCAACTTACTGCCTAAGGAAAATTCACTTTACCTGAAAACTTGCTGTAATAAAAAAATATTAATATGCAACCGTTCCATATTACCTGCGGGGACAGGGAAAGCCCATCTTTCTGAGCTAATCTGAGCTGAAACAAGGCCAAGGAGGCAGTCTGTCTCGGCATCAAAAGTGCAGGTGGCACCACCTGCATTTGCTGGCTGTGCCATTCTCGGCTACCCTCCCCCCGAGCCCCACGTGCTCGGCACTGAGGACCGGGCATCTCGGCCTGGGCTGACGTGAAGACAACAATCTGAGCAGCGCCTCTGCCTGGTCCTGCACATGGTCACCGGCCTGTGACCGCTCTGGACGTGGAACCGGGACAGGGGCTCAGCTGTGCGGGTGTGGCCCAGGCAGGCCTCGGGGACCCCGGACACCCAGCTACACCCAGACCCAAGACCTGCTGCTCATCACCAGGCGGACCTTTGCCTTCTATCTCGAGCTGTAAACTGTTACAACTGAGAAGACAGTGTCTAAAGAAAATATCTTAAATATCCTGATGAGATGAAAAAAGCTCAAACACATGTTTTGGGCCACTGTCTTACAACAAGCCAATCTTCACACTGTATTAACTTGAAAAGGACAATGCAGATCTGAATGCGAATTTGCCAACACCAAACCCCTGCTTTTCTGTTCCAGGTAGCTTTTCACCAGAACGTGGGAGTCTCCGATGGACACGGGAGGGTGAACTCTCAGTGCTGGAGGGCACACGGGACGCAGAGGACACTGCGTCAGCACCTCACCCAACTTGGGGCTCAGAGCTGGGGGGGACACCCCACAAAGCCCCCCACAGAGTGCTGACACAAGCTGTGGACAGAATGGCCTGCCTGTCTGAGCTCTCTCATCAAGGGTGGTCTGAGAACTGAAAATCCTTGAAGCAGGCCTGAAGTCAGTTTTCTCACTATGGAACACTCAAGACTTCTCGTAGGAGAAGACAGCTCCTCAGAGAAGCCCAGTTTCTGGGGAGCCGAGTTCGGGCACACCCACCGGGTCTCCTCACTGATGGTGTCCAGCTGCTCCCGAGGCATCACAGGCAGAGTGTCGGCATCGGCCTGCCCACTGGGCGGCAGCTGACCGGCCGAGCTGAAGAGGGTGACCCTGTCGCCCTCGCCGTCAGACACATCCTCGTCACTCTCGAAGTCCTGGGCCATGGTGGCCACCACGCGGGTCTGCTGCGCGGACTCCCAGTCCTGCTCCCTCTGGCTCTGCACCTGGGCATGAGAGGACCACGGCTGGTCAGCGACATTCAGGACAGCTCACGTCTATCAGGAACCGAACACAATTTTACATGGAAGCCCGACTTTGGATAAACGGCCATGCCTATGAGACACTGCCATCTCTTAAGCAAGCAGTACTGAAGAAATGGGCAGGAGGAGAATCCAGTTACTAGATGGCCTGCTGACACTCAGGTCAGCGTGGACGGAAGGCAATCCTATCAGGTTATTCACAAGAGTGCGCTGACGGAGTCAGGGACAAAAACGCAAAATTGCAAACATACATCCATGCCTCCATCAGGCAGGCTGAAGGAAAATAAGAAGGAAAAAATCCTTCCGCTCTGCAGCCGCTGGGTCCGCCTCAGCGGTCGTCACTTGTACTAGTTCCCCGAGGAGTGCCGTCCTCCCAGGTTCCCAGCCCTACGTGTTCCAGGCTGGCCCGAACACGCAGAGAGAGGAGCGAGCAGGGGCAGCCAGGGAACTGGAGGGCCAGCCCTCCGCGGCTGTCCTCTCGGGGCACAGGCACTCGGGCTCTGCTGGGGGATAGCCCCTCGCACCGCAAGGGCGGCTCTGCCATCAGAGACGCACGGGAGAGTGCCTGCTGGGCCCTGTGCTGCCCTCCCGCTCTCACACCTCACACCCTTCTCTCTGCAAATCTCCCCCCTGTCCGACTCTCAACCCAGGTCCTGCCTTCTTTCCCACACATGACCTCAAAGCAACTGAGGGGCAGCCTCGAGGTGCTGGCTGCCGGCTACCTGGCCCCCGTGGCCAGAGCCCTCGCCCCCTGACTTCCTCACAACCCCTCCCCAGGGCTGGGCTACCCCCTTCGCTGGCAGCAAGACCACCTGCCACCATCCCTGCTCCCCTCCAGCGCACCAGCTGCCTATGGGTTCACCCCTAGCAGCCCGGTCAGCACATCCTCTCGCTTCTCTCGCCTTCAAATGGCACAACGGGAACCAGCAGACTCCTCCTCCAGGGCACTCTGCAGTGCCCACTGGGGGTCTCTGAAGGCTGCCTGGGAGAGGCATCTGCTGTCCATACAGTGTATGATCCATCTTCATTATGCTTTTAACTGTATAGTGGTGCACTAACTCTAACTTACTGCTATGCAGGAAAAACACCATTTAATGAGACACGAAGACAAACCACAAACCAGACTAACGGGACACAGCACTGATATGACCAGAGCGAGTGGGAGGATGGGGAGGGGAGATGGATGTGTGAACTACAGCCTCCGGTGGGGGGGATGGGAGGCTGGGGTCTGGATTGATGACGGCTAAACAGACAACACGATGAGTCAGGAAATCAAAACCAATGATGAAAGCAGGCACACCGTCAGAAAACTCCACAAGGAAAAATTATTCAGGACTGTTCTTTCACAAACACTCCGAAAGAAATCAAGCATGAAGCCACAGAGAAATGGCCAAGAATTTTAAATATCAACGACTTAGACAATGATACAAAGTATAAAAGCAGTGTGTCAAAAGACCACAAAATGGACGAGGTACCACTTCACATGCAGCTAAAATGACCCACATTTATTTTAATTCTATGCTAACAACGCAGCTAACATGAAATGGGTGGGAACAGAAGAAAGGGATAATACAGGTGCAGTTTCAAGGCAGAGTGTTGTACACGAGATTCATGGGGTAAACAGCAATGCACTCAGAAAACTAGGCTACACAGGCAAGAAAGCTGGCACATGTGCTTTAGAGCCGCACACTCTGTCACCAGAAGCCCTAGGTCGTCATCCCGTGTTGAGACGCGGAAGAGTGAGGCAGCCCGACTTCTTCCCTGGGGCCCTGGGGCCCCGGGCCTTTAACTGGTTTCATGCGCACAGCTGGCCTGAGCGCGTGCGGCAAGGCCCATCAGCAAGCGGACCAGTTCAGATTCTTGGTTTTGTTGCCACCGCATGCCCTGCACCCTGCAGCCAGGCGACCCCGGTGGAACATGTGCTGCCCGCCTTTCACTCGCCATGAGGGCTGCCTGTGGTAACTTTCACGAGGCTGTCTGCTCCCTGACGACAGAAACTTCCCTGCCGCTGTTGTGCCCAGCACAGGCCAGGCCCACCGTTCCAGAGGCAGGCTCTGGCTGAGTTCACGATGGCTTGCTAAGCCGCTGGTCCAAATATCAAGACTGATTGGTCCCTGTGACATTATGGAATGAGTAAAGACCAGGCAGTTTTAAAACTCTTAGCCCTCTGAGCATAGTAAATGTACCTGATTTTCCTCTGGGGATAAAGAGAAAAAACAAAGAAAGAAAAACAGTGTGCTCGGGGAGGGATGTGGCAGGGAGGAGGCAGACACATACCGCAGTCATGATGCCCAGCCGGTCTCCCTCGTGCGCCAGGCTGCGCCGCCTCCTTCGGGGTGGGGAGGGCGCCCTGCTGGGCGGGCAGGAGCTGGCAAGTGAGGAGGCAGGACACAGGTTGAGGGAGCTCAGGGACTCAAAACGCCGAAGGCTGCCTAAGCGCGCCCTGCCCGCCCTGCTCTCAGTCTCCTCGGCCTGCTGCTCCGTGCTCTCTTCCTCTTGGATCCACCTAAAGGAGAGCAAAACTCGTCAGCTGCCTCTGTCAGCACAGGAACCTGTCTGGACAGCAAATTTGGGCTGGCATTCTGTGTCGCGATGAGCCAATTCCGGGAACATCTGCTCATTTCACATCTCGGCTAAAAGGTTCGACTTTCCCTCTTTTGAATATTCTCAAACTTGGAATAACTGAGCACTGAGTCTTACAAACTGGCCCCTGGTCATTCACGTTTGATTTGACTCCTTTACGCTAACATTCTGATGGGGCCCGAGTGGCGACTCTCTCCCTGTGAGGAGATACCTGAAGTTGACAACCTTCACCTTCCCTGCTCTCAGGGCAGAGGTGCACGTCAGGGCCGCAAGTCTTTGCCACTGCAAATCGGGAACTCTCTATAACCAAAACAGCGATTCATGAACAAGCTGGAGTTTCTAAACAAAAGTCCCCAGACCAGATGAAGTGCTGAGGGGATTTTTCTTTTCTTACGGTTGCATATGTACAAATGCATCACTTGATGAAGTTCTCCACCAGCTTTGTGCGAGTCTCTGGATTCATGTCAATGTGCCGCATTGACATAGAATTCACCCTTACTGCTCTTCTGCCCTAATGTGTAGTGGAGGATTTTAAATAGCAGTTGAAATACTCGATGATGCATATAAAATGACTTCCAAAATAAAATACAGGATTCTTGCAGGTCATAACCTCTCCAGCTTCACTTCTACCTATAAGTCCTGAAAGTTTTTCACTGGTTATAGCAAGCTGATGGACAGGATTTGCCATTTATAACAAGTCAACTTACTGCCTAAGGAAAATTCACTTTACCTGACAACTTGCTGTTCAAATAAAAATACTAACATGGAACCGTTCCATCGTTCCTGCGGGGATGGGGAAAGCCCATCTTTCTGAGCTCGTCTGAGCTGAAACAGGGCCCAGGAAGCAGTCTGTCTCGGCGTCAAAAGTGCAGGCGGCACCACCTGCATTTGCTGGGTGTGCCGTTCACCCCTGACTTTCCCCCGAGCCCCGCGTGCTCGGCCCGCAGGCACGGGCACCTCGGCCTGGGCTGACGTGACGAGAACAATCTGAGCAGCAGCTCTGCCTGGTCCTGCACAGGGTCACCGGCCTGCGGCCACTCTGGACGTGGACCCGGGACAGGGGCGTAGCTGTGCGGGTGTGGCCCAGGCAGGCCTCGGGGCCCCCGGACACCCGGCTGCACCCAGACCCAAGGCCCGCTGCTCACCACGAGGCGGGCCTTTGCCTTCTATCCCGTGTTGTAAACTGCTACAACTGCCAAGACGGTGTCTAAAGAAAACATCTGAAATATCCTGATGAGATGAGAGAAACTCAAACATATATCCTTGGACCACTGTCTTACAACAAGCCAATCTTCACACTGTATTAACTTGAAAAGGACAATGCAGATCTGAATGGGAATTTGCCAACCCCCAAACCCCTGCTTTTCTGTTCCAGGTAGCTTTTCACCAGAACGTGGGAGTCTCCGATGGACACGGGAGGGTGAACTCTCAGTGCTGGAGGGCACACGGGACGCAGAGGACACTGCATCGGTACCTCACCCACCTTGGGGCTCAGAGCTGGGGGGGACACCACACTACGCCCCCCCAGAGAGTGCTGACACCAGCTGTGGACAGAACGGCCTGCCTGTCTGAGCTCTCTCGTCAAGGGTGGTCTGAGAACTGAAAATCCTTGAAGCAGGCCTGAAGTCAGTTTTCTCACTATGGAACACTCAGACTTCTCATAGGAGAAGACAGCTCCTCAGAGAAGCCCAGTTTCTGGGGAGCCGTGTTCAGGCGCACCCACCGTATCTGTTTGTTGATGGCGTCCAGGTGCTCCTGAAGTTTCACAGGCAGAGTGTCGGCATCTGCCTGCCCACTGGGCAGCAGCTGACCGGCCGAACTGAAGAGGGTGGGCCCATCACCTTCGCCATCAGGCACATCCTCGTCAGTCTCGAAGTCCTCGGCCACGGTGGCCACCACGCGGGCCTGCTTTGCGGACTCCCAGCCCTGCTCCCTCTGGCTCTGCACCTGGGCATGAGAGGACCACGCCCTGTCAGCGACATTTAGGACAGCTCACGTCTATCAGGAACCGAACACAATTTTACATGGAAGCCCGACTTTGGATAAGCGGCCATGCTTAGGAGACACTGCCATCTCTTAAGCGAGCAGTACTGAAGAAACGGGCAGGAGGAGAATCCAGTTCCTAGATGTCCTGGTCACTCTCAGTTCTTAGCGTGGACGGAAGGAAATCCTATGAGGTTATTCAAAAGGGTGGGCCGATGGAGTCAGAAACAAAAACGCAAAATTAAAAACATACATCCATGCCTCCAGCAGGCAGGCTGAAGGAAAACATGAAAGAAAAAATCCTTCAGCTCCGTAGCCAATAGGTCTGCCTCAGCGGTCATCACTTGTACTAGTTCCCCGAGGAGTGCCATCCTCACAGGTTCCCAGCCCTACGTGTTCCAGGCTGATCTGCACACTCACAAACAGGAGCGAGCAGGGCAGCCAGGGGACTGGAGGGCCAGCCCCCGCGGCTGTCCTCTCGGGGCACAGGCACTCGGCCTCTTCTGGGGGAGAGCCCCTCGCACCGCAAGGGCGGCTGTGCCATCAGAGACGCACGGGAGAGTGCCTGCTGGGCCCCGTGCCGCCCTCCTGCTCTCACACCCTTCTCTCTGCAAATCTCCCCCCTGTCCGACTCTCAACCCAGGTCCTGCCTTCTTTCCCAGACAGGACCTCAAAGCAACCGAGGGGCAGCCTCGAGGTGCTGGCTGCCAGCTACCAGTCCCGTGGCCAGAGCCCTCACCCCGTCTTCCTCACGACCCCTCCCCAGGGCTGGGCCACCCCCTTCACTGGCTGCAGGACCACCTGCCATCATCCCTGCTCCCCTCCAGCGCACCAGCTGCCTATGGGTTCACCCCCATCAGCCCGGTCAGCACATCCTCTCGCTTCTCCCACCTTCCGATGCCTCAACAGGAACCAGCGGACTCCTCCTCCAGGGCTCCCTGCAATGCCCATTGGGGGTCTCTGAGGGCTGCCTGGGAGCGGCTTCTGCTGTCCCTGTCCCACCTGCTCTCCAGCTCTCTGCAAGCAGGCGCTGTGCCCTGCCCTACCGGGCAGCTCCCTGGGAGCTGGAGGAGCCCATGTCACCAAGCCCACTCCCGTCCTTGCCCAGCCCGCCGCCCTCCAACATGTCTCTCCCTGGCTCTAGGCCCGGCCCTCCCTGGGGTTATTCCTCAGGCCCTTGCGCCCCTTTTCAAAGATAAATAACATCTGATGTCCACCACCACAGCCTTCATACTTTGTGAAAATGAAAGTATACAAATGACGAATCCTTAACTGAAATTACACGATGACTGATCAAACTTACCTCTCTGTGTTTGGTACTTAATTCCTCTTCTAAGGAACTACACCTTTGAAGTGTTCGTCGTAGTTCCTCTCTCAACTGAAATAAAAGGGGCCGAATCACTGTGTGTTGATCTGTGTACATACGTTAGTGCACTTCTTATTGTACCCTCACATGATTGCATGGTTACTGTAACAGAACACCTTTAATGTCTCTCATTGACCTTAAGGTGAAGAAAATCTGCTTACTAACGGCTTTAAACTCTAAGTTTCAGAATTTATCCTAAAAGAACTGTATTACCCAGTTTTTAATTGCAAATTGACAAACAGAATAAAATAAATCTTGAGACATTTATGCCAACTAATACTTTTTAACTGGGGGCTTCCCAGGAGGCTCAGTGAGAAAGAATCTGCCTGCCAGTGTGAGAGGGCAGGTTCGATCCCTGGGTTGGGAAGATCCCCTGGAGTAGAAGATGGCCACCCACTCTAGTATTCTTGCCTGGGAAGCCCCATGAAGAGAGGAGCATGGTAGTCTATGGTCCACAGGGTCGCAAAACTCAGACATGTCTGAGCATGTACACAGGCAACGCTTTTTAACCATATAAAACTCTGAGTTCTTACGGAAAAACTGTATTTACAAGAATTCAAGAAGCTCAAAAGTCAACTAGTTCCATAAACACACGCATCGTCCACCTAACCAGGCAGCAAGTGTACAAATCCAGGACGGCCGCGTGGCTGGTACCTTCTCGTCCAGGGCCTTGTGGTGCTCGAAGAGCAATCTCAGTGCCCTGAGGACCTCCAACTCGCTGGTCATGCTGGCTGGGGACCGCGCCTGATGCCTCTCCACCGTCATCTGGAGGGACGGCACGTACCGGGAAACCAGGAGCTCCAGGTGTTCCAGCAGCAGCTGCAAGGTGGGGCCAAAGGAGCACCTTCAACCTCACACTTGAATTCAGGGCCCAGAACGCCTCTCAGCCTCACGCTAAGACCGAAACCATGCTAAGGCATGTCGGAATCCCGCCAGTTCAGTCTAAAGTTAGAGTGGACTTCCCCAGTGGCCCAGGAGTTAACACTCCACACTTCTGCAGGGCTCATGGGTTTTAATCCCTGTGTGGGAACTAAGATCCCACACAAACTGCAGCATGGACAAAAATGGAAGCTAAGAGAACTCTCCCCTCAAATGTACTAAAATTACATTAGCTTTCATCATCAATTTGAAGCAAGGTGTGAGAAACCCGAACTGATCCACCTCGGTCTGCTCAGTGGGAGGATGTGAAAAATGACTTGAAAACCAGACTTTCAAGACAGCAACATGGAGACCAGCGGTGACCCCTGCGGGGCACAGGTCAACACGTGAGACTCCGCCTACTGACCCTGGTGTTGTTCCTTTCTGCTTTTAGTTCCGAGATTTCTGCTTCTCTTCTAAGAAGCTGCTCCCTGCATGCTTTTAGCTGTCGACATGCCAACTCCTAGAAAACAGGTCAATGAGGAAGTAAATAAATGCAAACACAAATGTTAAAGAGAGCGAGACTCTGAAGACTGACACTGTCCAGTCTCTCCAGGCTCCACTCAAAGGATCTCCCTGCCCCTCCGGAGAAGAGGGGGCCCACTGACCCCAAGACCACACAGACCCCTACAACTCAGACTGGCCTGCAGCCTCCACCTCGACCTGGCAGGCACGTGGCAGGGGAGAACCCGGAATCCAAGCCTGTGCGGTAGGGGAGAACCCGGAATCCAAGCCTGCCTTCTCAAGACGCAGGGAAGTCTGAGAGACTTTCCTAAACATACACTTAAGAACAAAGTGGATAAAGAGATTCTTAAACGACACACAGACAAGTGACCGAGAGCCCCTGGGGAGAGTGAAGAAGAAAGGTAAGGTCTTCAAGGCCACCAGGCTTTGGAGTGTTCCTCTGGGAAAGAGGCTGATGGCACCCCAAGGCCGTCTGTTAGCCTGACTCCACTGAAGTCACCCAGTCATTCAACGAACTGCTTAAAATGGTAAATTCATGTTATATGTATTTTATCACAATATGCACATACGCGGGGCCGTCCACGTGGTGAACTTGCTCAAACCGAACCACACGGACTCTTTCATTCTTCTATTGTTCTTTGCACAAATACAAAAATCCTGGGCTATGTCTCCCCTACTACATACTAAGTATTCAGCACCTAGAGCACTGCCCAGCACTTTGTAAGAGGCATGTAGTAGACATGTGAGGCTGTGAGGGTGTGTGTCATACACAGGAGCAGTAGGCACCCGTCATTAGAACACCGGGCGCACTGCTCTGGGCTTTGGACGATGGCAGACGTTAAGGGGCTCAGCCTTTCTGCTCCAAGGACTGACTCTCTAGCTCGACCCACACGCCCCAGAGACTCCTCCAGCCAGTGGATCCCTTGTTTGGAAGAAGAGAGACTTTAAGGGGCTTAGCCTTTCCTTTCCGCTCCAAGGACCGACTCTAGAGCTCAGTCCACGTGCCCCAGTGACTCCTCCAGCCCCTGTTCCCCTTCCTGTGGGGCCCCCGCCCATTGTCCACGCAGCATCTGCACGGCCTCTTACAAGGTCAACCTGCTGGGGTCCATCCTGCCCAGGAGGCCAGAACGCCTTGGCCGGCAGGGCCCACGAGCATGCGAACAAAGTAAAACACAACCCCAACTCTTTGCCGGGTGAGGGCCAACCCGACGGGCCCATCCCCCGGCTGCTCTCACCTCCGGGCACTCTGCTTCCACGACTTGGGATGAGGCCAACTTATTTCTTGTCTTGGCCTTTTTCTTGGGGTTGCAGCATGGGAAAAGTGCCCATAGGATGGCCCTTCTGCGACCCATCCTCGCGGATGGGGGCAGCCCCCCACTTGGGGGCACCTGCTGTTTCTCAGGCAGATCCCTAAGTGCCTGAGGTATCACTACCGATCTCACACTATGACCACTGCTCTCACACACCGCTCTCACACACACCACTCTCACACACACCACTCTCACACACACCACTCTCACACTGCTCTCACACTATGACCACCAGCTCCGCTATCTCAAGAAGAAATGACACGAAGGCTCTGCCTCCAGCACGTCACCCGGGAGCCCGGATCATGAAAGCCACTCTGTCACAAAGGGCTCCATGGTAACAGGGGGGCTGGGCTCCGGCCCACCATCAAGGGTGCAGAGAGTGGGGAGGGGCTGCCAAAAACATGGCAGGTGTGTGTTGGGTGCGGGAGAAGGAAGGCCGTGCCCACAGCTCAGGCCCACCATCAAATGTCACCCTGCAAGGTCACTGGGTCACAGTCAAACCGAACAGTATAAACTGCTTCAGAAACCACCACCGCTAGGGATGAGCACGTCTTCTAAGTGGGCTTCTGCTTCTTCCACCCCCGAAACAAGCCTGCAGTGAGGCTACTGAAAGGGCACCCCTGAACTCAAGGGTGTGCCCAGAACCCACATGGCTGAGGAGGACTCCCCGCACTGGCTGCCCCTCACTCTCACCCTGAGCTTGGTCCTCCCTGACTGGCTCCCTCACTTGAGCTCAGCAAGGGCTTGACCAACCTTGCTCTGGGCGCTTACAATGAACCCAGAGTGGGGACAGGGGTTCATTCAACCTGCTGTGAGCTCACCTTCTTAACTTCAACCCTGGGCCGCCAGACGACTCGGCCCCATGGGGACTGCATGGTGCAGGTTCAGGGGTGGCCCTGCCTCAAGCCGTGACAGCCAGCACCTCCCAGATCCCTCCAGGGGCTGCCCCGCCCTCCACGCGCAAGTCTCCCACCCCCTCTCCTGACCCCACTCCCAGCCTCGCGGCTCTCCACACACCAGGGCATAGCCCACACTGCTCCTGGCTCAGCCTGGTCCTCTGCGGTCACTTGAGGACTCAGTCCCCGGGGTGCTTGAGGTCCTATATCCGCCTATCTCAGCAATGACAGACTCTGGGGAGACAGGGTACAGTTTGGGGTCCCACCCGCAGTGCACCCTGAACACGGTCTCTTTTTTTTTTTTTTTGCTTTATCTACTGCAGTTCTCTGAGACGTCTTTTGAAAACCTCAACTGTGGCTTTCAAAAAGACTGTAAAATCACTGTGCTCAACTTGAAGAATAAAATCTTCATTTTCAACCTTAAAGTGAAACTGGAGGGAAGATTAAAAGCAGTCATTTTTCAAACTGAAAAAGAAAACCCACAGGTGACCCCATCACACAACAGGTCACGCAGCCCCGCTCTCCTCAGCTTCTCCTCCACCACCAGCAGCCCGTCATCGCAAGGCCTGCCCTGGGCTGGCAGGCGCAGGGGAAGCAGGCACACCGGCTCTTCCGTCCCCAGGCTGCGTGGGCTGCTTGCTCCACCTTCTTCCCAAATTCAAGTGGCACTGAAAGAGCATGGGCAAGCTGGGGATTCTGATCCGAAACACAACCGTGGGTACTAAGCAAGGACCCCTGCCTCTTGTTTTCCCGGTATCAAATAAAGATGATCAGTATAATTAGTGTGATGCTTACATGTGGCTTCAGATGAGAGAAGACACCCAGAGCTTCCCCACGTCCAGTTACAAACGCAAGCAGCTTGTAGGTCAGCCTACCCAGAGCTAGAAAAGCTAAATACATTTTAAAAGAGGTCCTCAGGCAGCCACAATCCAAGATCTCAAGCAAAAGGGAAGCCCAGTGAGGCAGCTGGAGACTGAGAGGCCGCTCCTTCCCCCGGGACATCTGAACAAAGCTGACTCTGCAAAGAAAAGGCGGGGGAACGTCCAGCAGAGGGGACTGGCTGACACAGCTCTGGACAGCTCCTCGGACTGGGAAGACAAACATATGAGCGTAGGCCTGACAAGTCAGTCCTGATGGTAGAGACCAGTCTCCCTAAGAAAAGTTAGGCACAGAAAACGTACCCAACACCCTGCCCAAACTGGCTGAGCACTGAGTATCAATCACCTCGTGGTCTTCAGGAGGTGGACGGTGGGATTCAGGACCTGCCTAAAAGGAGGGGCCCTGGGAGGCACCCCAGGCTTCCAGATGGAGATGCTGGAGGGCTCCTCCCTGGGGTCGGGTGAGGGGGGCGGGGAAAGTGGGTGAAGGCTGCTGAGACTCAGCTCACAAGGACCCCCTAGCCTCAAGTCACTCAGGCCCTGAGCGAACACAGAGCTCTGTCCCCACGAGAGGTCTACGTCAGAGGAAAGCCTGGAGAAGACAGCATCACTCAGCACCTCTAGGGCTTTCCAAACGTAGTACCCAACATGCAAACAACAAACCAAAAAAGGGTGTAACAACAAACAGGACCAACAGAAAAAGAACTGAAACAGATCCAGAGGGATCAGATGCATATCAGCATATCAGAGGTATGCTAGATGTATCAATTGCAAATGTCACCAGTTCAAAAAATATACTTGACCAAAGAAAAAATTTCTGAGAATCAAAACGGATGCTACAACTATAAAAAAAAACAGTGACGGAATTTAAGAACTCAGTCTCTGGGATTAACATCAAATTAGAAATAGCTGAACAGAGGATCAGTGAACTGAAGGATGGATCAGTTACAAATATATATATGACGGAAAAGTATAGAATATATTGAAAGAACCTGTTGTTAAACTATGTTGTTAAAGATATAAATGGGTCCCCTTATGAGGGAGAAAAGACAGAAAGGGGAATAAGAAATGCCTCCAGGAGTTGGAACTAAACAGCCTATTGATGAAAGTGTAAGAGAAGAGTGAAAAAGATGGCATACAATTGAGCATTCAGAGCTAAATCACAGATTTGTCAGTTTCTCCAGAAGTAACCTATTTTTGATTCCCAAGGAGAATCGCAATAATAAAACTAAATTAATCTAGTAGGTTATTTTCTCTCTAATGGCACCAGTCCTGATTAATAGGATTTCGGTCGATCTATTTCCTGGGCTTCCCTGGTGGCTCAGATGGTCAAGAATCTGTCTGCAATGCAGGAGACCTGGGATCCATGCCTGGGTTGAGAAGATCGCCTGGAGAAGGGAATGGCAACCTCTTCCACTATTCTTGCCTAGAGAATTCCACGGACAGAGGAACTTGGGAGGCCACAGTCCATGGAGTCACAAAGAGTCGGACACAGCTGAGCAACTAATACACATATTTTCTTACCATTTGCTGAGTAGAAGCAATCATTCAGAGCATTTTATAGCACTTTCTAAAGAACGCTTAGTGCCTTAGTGTTTCTATTTAAAGTTTCTAGGATGTTAATTTATATGCAAATAAAATACATAAGAGAGTTCTGTGCCTATTGTGTATATATGACCTCAAAGTAAATGCAAAATATTTATCCCAGAGGGAAAATAAGTTAGAGTGTCTGTGTTCAAAGACTTTTGAAAGCTCTTATTTCAGGCCGAACCGTTGCTGGTGAAGAGTGAAAGTCACTCAGTCATGTCAGACTCTGCGAACGCATGGACTATACAGTCCATGGAATTCTCCAGGCCAGAATACTAGAGTGGGTAGCCGTTTCCCTTCTCCACGGGGTCTTTGCAACCCAGGGATGGAACCCAGGTCTCCTGCATTGCAGGTGGATTCTTCACCAGCTGAGCCACCAGGGACGCCCCAACAGTTATGAGCAGTTAAGGATTTAACAAATGCTAGATTGTAAAGATAAAATAATAATTCTGCTACGTTAACACACATTTTCTTAAGATCAAATGTTCTCAACGCAGTTTCAGGGAAGAAGTATTTCCCCCTTATGGAAATATCAGTATGTTAATCCCTAAGAAGTCCTTTTCCGAAAAGTTACAAAATAGTTGCGACAATGTAGATGATGTAGATTAAATGGTGATAAACATTGAGTTGATCTCAGTGAGGCAGCAGTGAGTGGTGGCCTGAAGTGAGATCTACTTCGCTGCCCAGGAACTGACCCTGGGTAGCCTGAACCAAAACCAGGAATCCTAGCCGCCAGACCAGCAAGGGCTAGAGGCTAGAAGCCAAGTTTCCCTGGATCTTTGACCAGTGAAAAATGCATTTATCATGGAGGCAGAATCGGTAAATGCAGGTACAACGTTTATTATTAGTGACACAGCACAGCAACATGTGGGAAAGCACACGGAGAAACAGCTGGTCTCGTTAAGACAGAAGCAAAGCAGAGAGACACACCTGGAGAGAAAGGTTATGGGCGCCCCCTAGTGAGAAGGAGCACAATAACCACAAGGCAGTTAAGTCATTTAGACAGGCCAGTTCTTCTGGGTCTTTGTCTTCCTTCCTGCCAAGTTTCTGGTTTCTCTCTTCCCATCTGACCTATCCTGGGACTCTCCCCTGGTGTGCACATACCCCTCAGCCAAGATGGATCTCCAACTGGAGGCTTCTGGGAGAAGCAAGGCTCATTATGGTCTGGCATTTTCGCGGGACTTTTCACCCACAAGGAGCCTCTCTGCGCATGTGTAGTGTTTCCCTTGAACCAAAGGGGGGGGTGGGGGGAGGGGAGATCTCTTCATCCTTGACTCAAGCAGGAGTTTGTCCCTCTTTGCCCTTCCCATGGCTATGAAAGTGTTCATAAGAGACAGACACTGGCTATTTACCCTCTTTCTGTTGTTACTTCCATTTCAGAGGGCAAGCAGGACACTGATTGGAAAGGCTCAACTGGAGCCCAACCATCTCTTGCCTCAGGAAATGTAAACAGGCTAGATGTCAATGCCTAACGTGGAGTCCATCTGTCTCCTACAGCAGCATTACGGGAAGACAAAAGGTAGAAAATTATGCCAATGGGGCACCACATCATGGTGCAAAAAGATGGATATAGACAAGGAAAGAAGGAATAAAAACTAAGCATGATGCTAATGGAAACCATTATGCAAGTTAATGGGGGGTGGGGGGAAACCTCATGGAAAACACTTGCATTTATGCCATA